ATTCTCCCCATCCTCCTTTCAGAATCTCTACTGCTCCTCACAGTCCCGGTGTCCTGTCTAGCCCTATGAACCCTGGAGTGGCAGCAATTTTGCCTATGGGCATTGCTTAAATCTCACTGAAAACAGTGGGAGATCTCAGCCAACTTTCTCAGGCAGCCTCACTTCCATGTGCACACAAACTGTAGGGAAGTATCGGCCATATTGCTGTCCTCAGCCCCATGGGCAGTAACATAAGATATTTTCAATTCTGAATAAGAGAAGATTCATGAGTTGGTAGCTTTTGATCAGGTTTTCATGAGAAGTTAAAAACATGCCAGAATTGCTAAAGTCCTGATAAAATTGTGGGAGTTGGCAATGCTGGAACCTGTTAACAAATCTCTATCCCACATAACTTCACTACTACTAGATGCATAAAATCAGTGGCAGTTGTGTGGATAATCCTATATGACTCTTTGAAAATGTAGGAGTGAGAAGCTAAGTGCACTGCGGACTGGTGGATAAATTATTCTGAATTATTTTAACTGCTACTTAGTTTCTAAAGTGGAAACAAGGGGCTGTAACATCTGAATTTGAGAGTAAAGCCTTTCGCTATATTCAGGGTATTTTGTTGTTCATGGTTAACTTTAAAAAGTAGTTTTTAGAGCATCCACTTTATCACACAGGAACCATGTCAGACACGCTAAGCAACATAAGTCAAAACCATGTTTTAGATGATTAATCCCTCAGCAAGCCTTCAACATGCTTCTGTAATGTGCTTGTGGCACAAGCAGAGGCTTCAAAACTGCATCCAAAACATGCCACCTGCTTTGAAACCATTATGTTCTTTAACACACGCAATGCTAGCACAAATATGGCTTTTTAATTACCCATTTGCTCTGGGAACTTTCTTTTTTAAAAAAGTCTAATTTAAACTAATGTTGTGATGTAGACATTAAGTACGTGTCTATATACTCTGCAGCTTGCCATTGATATTTCTCTGCCAGTAAAACATTAATGTGTAAATAGCATTATCTGAGCATGTTTGTTTCTGTACAGTATATGATGAATTACTCTTATACATACTTACAGTATAGAAATGTGTGGCTGGTCCCACACTGGACTTGACCTCCTGTTTTCATTAATCAAATGATAAAGTCATAGTTTGTTTTAATTTTAACAGAATGTGGCCTGCTTTTATTTAAAACAAAAATCTGCCTAGGATGCAGAAATAAGATACTACTATTATTATAAAGTCCATTAAAACAATGCTTATGTCCTTCCTCCCAAGCAAGGGACTCAGCACAGTGGTGAAAAGGAGGTAATTTTGTCATTGGGGTAATGAATGGGCATAACTATATCTGTATCACAGTGGATTCTGCTCAGTAATGTTAGGAGTATGAGTTAGTAGATCTGTTATGTACTGAACTTTTTCTGGTACATGTATGGAAAATTAGTTTTTCCTGCCCTTGGAAGCCTGGGGCAGTTCCAAAAGACTTTTGGTCTCTGTGCTAGTGGTGGTGATAAATTCAACCTGGTCATTCTAAGATAGAGAATGTTATGCCCAAGCAAAGTGTCGTCAAGCCTTAGGTACCATTGTTACAGAGGTTAGAGCAGGGGTGGGCAAACTCTTTGGCCTGAGGGCCACATCGGGGTTCCGAAACTGTATGGAGGACTGGGTAGGGAAGGCTGCGCCCCACCCCCACAACAGCCTGGCCCCCATCCCCATCTGCCCCCTCCCACTTCCCGGCCCCTGACTGCCCCCCTCAGAGCCCCTGACCCATCCAACCCCCTCCTGCTCCTTGTCCCCTAACTGCCCCATGGCACCCCAGCCCCTATTCAATGCCCCCTGACTGCCCCAACCCCCATCCACACCCCTGCCCCCTGACAGGCCCCCAGGACTCCCACGCCTATCCAACCTCCCCGTCCCCTGACCGCTGCCCCTCCCAGAACCTCCACCCTATCCAACCACTCCCTGTCCCCTACCTGCCCCCCGGAATCCCCTGCCCCTTCTCCAACCCCCCCGCTCCCTGCCCCCTTACCATTCCGCTCAGAGCAGCAGGACTGGCAGCCGCACTGCCCGTCCAGAGCCAGCCAAGCCGCCACGCTGCCCGGCAGGAGCTCGCAGCCCTGCCGCCCAGAGTGCTGGTGGCACGGCGAGCTGAGGCTGCGGGGGAGGGTGGATAGTGGGGGAGGGGCCGGGGGCTAGCATCCCCGGCCGGGGGCTCAATGGCCGGGCAGGATGGTCCCACAGGCCGGATGTGGCCCACGGGCCATAGTTTTCACACCGCTGGGTTAGAGCAAACTTAGCAGCTGTTACAAGCCCAGTTTAAATACTGTGAAAAAGAGAAAAGAATATAGGCTCTAGTTGCGTACGGATAAAAACTGGGAAGGAAAATCAGTAAAGTAAACCTCTAATTCACAATGCTTAGCCAAGAGGTGGTATGGGCCTGAGGGGTAGGGGCAGTCCATCAGATTTGGTGTTGTATAGCATCTTGCTTCCCTTCATCAACCAGATAAACAGTTAAATTCTTATACTGTACATCTTTTTAATTGAGGTGCAGAAAATCTATTGGTGTAATCCATTGGTAGTGTTCTCACGTCTGAAGATTGTAGATTCAAATCCCACATGGTAAAATGAGCTCATTAATGATTCTGAGGCCACTTCCTACAGTATATATCACTTCCTTAATGCTCAATGAGAAGTGTCCTCTTTGGAATGGGATATTAAACCAAGGTCCTGCCTATCGTTGAAAGTTAAAGATCCCGTAACTCCTTTTCCAAAGGAGCAGAATGTTCTCCAGTTTCCTGGGTAGCATTCTGTCTTTCAGCAAAATATGTCCCATATTCAGGCTGCTTCTGAGCCAATAATAGTTACCATATTTGAATATATAAGCACTGGGCTACTGGTGTTTAACTCGGCCCACAGTGAGATCTTGAGCATGAAGGGAAATAGATAAGAAACCATATTAGATGAAGTTGTGGTCCCCAGCTTCATTTCTGAAAATAACCACAACCCTTCAGAGAAGTTAAAGTAAATTAAAATTACCATAGGCTCTTGCCACACTGGTGGAACATTCACTTTTGTGACTTACTAGGGTTTCAAACACCTGAAACTAAAAGCAAGAGGGCTATATGGGACACGTATTTCCCTTTAGTCAGTTCACCACCATAGCTCCCAGTTGAGAAAGAGAGAGCGAGTTGGTGAAGCAATATCCATTTGCAGTTAGCCACTCTGGACCTTTTATGAAGCAATTGTAATAATGACAAACCTTTATCTAGAGAGAGGGCATTTCCATGTACTTTTCACTTACATTGCCATCTTGAACTCATGTATTCACAGCCTTCTAAGTGAAGCCACTTGTGGGTTATGCATGATCATGGCTAACAAATTAAAACAAACATATGCTATGCTTGTCATAAGTGACCCATTGGTCACTTATTTCCCACTGATAGGTACTGTTGAAAGAAAAGTCTCACATGGCAAAATGCCTGCGTGTTTTTTCTTACTTAGATGAAATGTATACAATTTACAATGGCTCCAGAAGGAATTTATTGGAATATTTGGTGGCATCTAATAGAAACCGTATTTGTTAATAGAATTGACATTTAGCAATAAAATCATTTGATCAAAGTGTGTGGTGCTCCCTAGCTGTCTCTTTGCATACCAAAAAAAAACAAAACAAAAAAAAAAAACCAAACTGTTCAAACCACACATGGGAGTAGTCTCTATACTGGAGCATGAAAATGTTCAGCATAATTTCCTGTGACTAAGATACCCAACCATAAGTCTGTTTTCGTATAACTCCCATCTTTTCTCTTCGTTGTCTTTCCCACCCCTTCTGCTTGTCTCCATGTTCTGTTTGACCTCATCTTCTAGCTCCAAAGGGAGGGGATTGTGTCTTCACTATCTTCTGTAAAGAAATGCACATTTGAGATGTGTGTAAATAATAAGGCAGCTAGAATGTGGGACAGGAGGCAGTGCAGCTGTTTGTCTCTCTGAAAAGAGATTATAAGCATATGAGTAAAAGAGACATTTAAATAAGAGGCCATTTATTACTGTCATAAAGTACTTTTAATGTTAACCGACTGTTATAGGTTTGCTTTTATTCCTCTCCACTTAGTTTGCTAGAAGCTGTCAGCAATTTCCACTCTTCTGTATGTGTGGCGGACACAGTTGTATATGAAATCGGTCTTCCATTTGATACATAAACAACCTGAGAAAGCAGTAGTTCCATGGAAAAAGTAATTTTTGGTATCATGCATAAATATCACGTCAATATGTAAAACATGGAATTTACACTGAGTAATGTAAAATTGTGTCTGAAAATATTGGACAATAAAAGGACTATGTGAACAAAGGAAGTTGGATAAAAAGAAACATCTTGTAACTGATTTCAGAGTAGCAGCCGTGTTAGTCTGTATCTGCAAAAAGAACAGGAGTACTTGTGGCACCTTAGAGACTAACAAATTTATTAGAGCATAAGCTTTCGTGGGCTACAGCCCACTTCTTCGGCTGCATATAGAATGGAACATATATTGAGGAGAGATATATCTATAGATATATATCTATATATCTCGATATATATTCTATATGCAGCCGAAGAAGTGGGCTGTAGCCCACGAAAGCTTATGCTCTAATAAATTTGTTAGTCTCTAAGGTGCCACAAGTACTCCTGTTCATCTTGTAACTGACTTGACTAATGCTAATAAACTCTGTGGAGCTTAGTGGCTCATATGAATGTGAGGAGAGCATTCGCACTCTTGAAAAGAAGCATTTTGTTTATCTTCAGTGTCCCAGCCTTAGAAACACCAAATCTTATGATACTTTTCTCCACCTCCATGCTTTATGTATAAAAAAAACTAGTTAAAATACGATAAACCTAATGCCGCTGCTCTTGCTCCCATTGAAGTCAATGGTGTTGGCCTCAGGATGTGATGTGGCAGTAATTTTAAAATAATGGTGTTGCATTTTAATTTCTGCTACTCTCATGTTGTGTGTGTTTTCAGGGTTGACTTCTGCGTTGGAGCCTTGTTTGTGTTTCACTTAAGTTGAAATATTAGAAGCTATGGCAAAAGAATGCCTAAAGAACTGCTGCAAAGGGTGTTTCTACGTGGAGAAGGAAAAGAATGACTGTGAGTTCCACACCATAATAATAAACATGCAGGTTAATAGTTTTGATATTGAAGCTTCATTAATAACACTTCCCGGGGATAAAATGTTAAATCATCCACTTCTTTTGGATTAACTTGAATTATTTTACAGCATCCAAACTATAGCCTCGATTTGAAAGTTAGCATATGCTGATTAACATTATTAATCGGAGACTGAAAATGACAATTGTACAAAGTCTGCTGCTTGTTGTATTTGGCCCTGGAATACCAGCAAAAACAAAAACCATTGTTACACCAAGGGTCACGTAAAGGTCTTATCTCTCTCAAATAACAAAGGCTAGAATTCAGCGCTCTACTTTCTGGAAGCTTGTAATCACAGCTTTCAATTGGTATAGTGTATTAATCACTTTTCTTACTGGATCATGATACACTGTATGGTGAAGTCTTGTAAGAACTGAAGTGAAAGCAAGGTGCTTATTACAATAAAGTCTGGGTGGCAACACATTTTGGGACAGTACAAATGCTTCCAGAATCAGTAAACTTTCCAGTGCTGCTCCTATATGCAATGACAGTAAGGAAACCCTGTGAATCCTTGATCCTGTTATACCCAAAAGATCTCTTCAGACTGAATGCACTTACTACTTTATTTTTTTAACAGTTTCCATGGAGAAGGAATCTGAAGCTGCAGCTGAAAACAGGCAAAGCATTGTGGAGAAACCTCCATTGTCTTCTGTGTCAGTTAAGCGTCAAGTTGGCTGTTCCGAGGATTATCTCCTTGCGAAACTGCCATCGGATGGCAGGGAGGTCCCATTTGTGCTCCCTCAGCTTAAACTAGCTTACATACAACCCAAGAACCTTGGCAGTTTGTCACACGTTGGGGAAATTCAAGGTAAATTAAAAATCACAATGGTGAAATAGCGCCAAAAAAACCCAGCAGAAAAATGACACTATTTCATTAGATATTTTAATTAGGTCTGTGCCCAAGCGATGTAAATCAGACCAGTCTCCAGATGCTGGTTTGGATTCCAATGCTTCCTAACCTCACTGCCTAACCCAAATTTGAAGGTAGGTCCAGGAATTTTGGTTTTAGACAGTCTCTCTGTTTCTAATGTTTAAACTAATTTTATCCTGGCATTATAGCAAAATGAGGGTTTGGCGTTTTATTTAGGCTTTTTTTTTTTTTAACATTCTTAGTAAAAATCCAAAAATCCATGCATCTAGAAATTAGTTAATAGTTGTTAATATATAGGTCCCAGAAACTGCTGTTCAGCCATTGTTACATCTTGGAGAAACCAAAGATGCTGAATGCCCCTTCTGTAAATATTCATGGCAGATTCTGAGATTAAGAATTTCTCCAGAAGCCCAGTCTCCTGCCTTTTCCTCAGTCACTGCTCTCTTGCCCTCCACAAGAGCTGCTTTGAGGAACACTTTCACAGTATGGACCCCACTCATTCTGCAAGATGAGAAATGTTCAACGTTGACATCGATCAACAAAGCCGTCAAGTTTCACTCAGAGTAGAGAAGGACACCTGGAGGAAAACAAGTTACCTGCAAAAAAGCAATGTGAAAAGGCAGTTTTGTAAGGTCTTGGAGACCAGAAAAGGCCTAAGACATCCACACCAGCCAAACTTCCCATGTAAGGAATGGGGTGCTGAGACCCCCCGGCAGCAGTAGTGACTCCATGGCTTTCTCTCCAAAGACAATGACCAGTGTAGGCCAGCATTTATGAGTTACCACACAGCTCTCCAAAGCAAGCATATGTATTTTAATGACACAAGCGCACAGAGAAAACTGTAAAATGTTCTATATACCTACTAAACGTGCCAGGAATCACCCATCTTCCATGTGGAGAGTTCAGTAGGCAAATGGCCTTCCAACCTTTCAGCAGAATTGGAAGAAAGCGCGTATCCATTTGTTGGATCAGGAAGTCTGTTTAAATTCAGCTTTTTATACCAAAAGCACATTACTTGTCTCCTAGTTGTTTGAGAACCCAGTCTGAATGAGTATATGTAAACCACATGTGGGGGAAGTACCTCTCTGGTCCTGTTCAGTCTTGGCAACTTGCCTTAATCACAGCCTTCCTCACCCTGTACCTGGAGGAGCTGTGATAACCCTCCCCCATGAAGTAGAACAGTAGTGTGCAAACTGTGGGGCATGAAGGAACATTCGGGGGGCAAGTGGCGGCACCAGGCAGCTCGGGCTAGCCCTGTGTGGCGGGGCCTGCACCAGCCCCCACCAGGGACAGGAAGGGAGTGCTATCTCCACCCTGACTCACCTCAGCGGGCCACCCAGCCTGTGGGTCAGGGTGTTGCACCGATTTCTGCTCCTGTCAGCCTCTGTGCCCAGTGCTGGCTCCGCCCCCAGAGACCATCACGTGCACCTTCCTCCACCCTGGAAACCCGAGGGGGGAGGGGCAGGTATTGGTCCTGCCCTAGGAGTGCAGGCTGGCTGCTGAGGAAGCCTTGACTGTGCGGTAATGGAGGGGTGGCGTGGACAGATTCCATTAACGATAAGGGAAAGTTTGCTCGCCACTGGAGAAGAACATAATCCTATATAAACCATTCATAAATGTAATGCAGTGGTCCCCAAAGATATTGCATGTGGTTATCATATCTTTCACAGTTGCACTGTCAAAACATTTTGTATTTTGAAAATGGCTAGTTGCTATGACGTTTTGTCAACAGAGAATACCAGTGCTTTTCGACTAGCCGCACTTTTGAGGGCCACTCTGGGCATAAGCAGGAAGCTACTGGTGTGTGTGTGTGTGTGTGTGCGCGTGCGCGTGCGCGCAGGAAAACACCTCAATTATTCAGTTGTAATAATACATGGTCCACTATAAAACAATACTTTTACTCAGCTTTGATTGCTTTGCTTTGTATGTTCAACAACCAAATTTCTTATTTTGTAAGCATCATGCTTTTGCAAAAGTGTAGACCTTTAGACTTTTTTTTACTATACATCATGCTACTATCGGGTGACTTTTGTTCATTGGAATCTGGGATCATTGTTTTCTGGAGAGCTCAGAGATGTGCTATAGGTGATAAGAAAAGTGTCTCTTCACAAATATGCCTCATGAGTAAGCATTTAATATAAATAAATATATGGAGATATACCTATCTCATAGAGCTGGAAGGGACCTTGAAAGGTCATTGAGTCCAGCCCGCTTGCCTTCGCTAGCAGGACCAAGTACTGATTTTGCCCCAGATCCCTAAATGGCCCCCTCAAGGATTGAACTCACAACCCTGGGTTTAGCAGCCAATGCTCAAACCACTGAGCTATCCCTCCCTACTTAAGTATAATTCTTACAGCAGATAAGAAGCTGTGTCTTTCTGAAATGATTATGTTCATTCATAGCAGTGAAAATGTATATTTATATTTGGGAAGGACAAATAGCTTTTAAGAGTTGTGAAAGCTATTTGTGTTAAAGGCAAACTGTACTTTTTTAGGAAGATTTATTGAATTTAGAGAAATGTGCTGCAATTCCTTCTTCACTACAATGTAACACTAACTAAAGCACTAGTATGTTAAAGAGAACCATTAGAGTACCTGGTTTTCAGCCATAACAGTCCAAACTCTGCTTTTAATGCAACACCATTTTCTGTATGTGTGATTGTGTATTTTCCTTTCTTTAAACAGGACATGCTCTCAGAATTGCTGCTTGCATCTTTACTGAAAGTGATTATGCTCTGGCAAATTTTCTTTGCAAGGCTTGCAACAGTTTGTCTCGTGGTCTTACATGAGAAGCTAAGCTAGCGAAAGGAAATATCAGTTTTTGACCCCATATGTTAATATTAATATTCATCTAAATGGCTGAATGCTCTGAACTAATTTAACTTTCTGGTGTTAGTGCTTCCATCACACTTGAATTCCTGAATGATCATTTTTTTGTTATATAGGATTCTTTTAGTTATTCTCTATTTTATTCATTCTGACACCATCTAGAGGAATGGATGGGGGGCTTCAGATAAATAAAATGAAATGATGTCAATCTGTGTTATTGCTCTGTTTACCAAGACCTTAATATTTTGCCTGAACTCATTAGAAGAGGAAAGAAAGGTAGGGCAGCTATGGTCTAATGGACTGAGCATGCAGGTGGGAGACAGGGATTCTATGGTCTATTCCTGACTCAGCCAATGAGTGAGTGATCTTGGGCAAGTCATTTTACTTCTCTGTACTGATAGGTATCCTATTGAAATTAAGCGAAGAGTATACACAGCCACAGGCTATATTCTGTCTTCTTCCTAGACCCTCCTGAAGGTTCTGGGGCTACTATAGCAAAGTGAGATGCCCCACTGGGATAGAGCCAATGTGGAAGCACAGGTTCTCTGCACACATGGCCCAGTTTCCTGTGAATATTTGTCTTGCTCTCTGTCTTTGGAACTATCTATGTATAAATCAGGTTAGGTTTATATTAAGGAACTCCAAGGGGTGTGTGTGCATGACTTCTCAATGTACAGTTTCATTTTGGTGCCAGTAATTCCTAAGAGTGCTGAAATCTGACATAACCTGTTGAAAGGCATGTTGCCTGCTTCATGAACCGTGGCAATACATTCATTAACTGCTAAGACTCTTACACGTGGCTTATGTTGTGCTTCACAGGATCTGCCAGAGCCTTTGTTGGTGACAGGAAAGCAGAACTTTCCAATATATACCAGCAGGGGCCCCATGGTGACGTGGTGTATAATCCATTCTATAGGCAGCAGAATATTTCACCGGATCTGACTAGGCGCTTCCCAGAAAAATCAGATGTGAGATTATATGGATCAGGTAAGAACTCATCCTGTTCTCTTTCCTTTCTGACCAGAAGGTTTAAATGCAGAAGAGAGCACCCATTGGGAATATGGAAGGTATGTCTGAATACAGCAATTCCCAAACTGTGGTCTGTTGGCCACAGAACTAGCTGGTCATGCGATACGGGCTCCTCCTCCTTGTTCCCAACAACTCTGCTTGCTTCTTGCCTCTTCATAGCCTAAAAGACCCCATATACAATCTTTGGTACACACTAAGAAAATATTTGACACATGATCTTAATATTAATAAACCTGAGAGCAAGTACTATTGTTCACTAGACACTTAACTGAAAGAGTTGAGACTATTTATTATTGGAGCAACTTCTGTTGGTGAAAGAGACAAGCTTTCGAGCTTACACAGAGCTGAAGAAGAGCTCTATGTAAGCCTGAAAACTTCTCCCTTTCACTAATGGACATTGCCCCAATAAAAGATGCCAACAGTGATGAGTACTGTCATTAACCATTTCCAGCTAACCAGGAGACTCTGCCCTTCTTCTCAAATGAGGACCTTGCTATTGTGATATCACACTTTGTCACCTCTCCGTTAAACTATTGCAACTCGATCTACCTGAAGTTTATGTATAGATGAAACATGAGAACTGCACTATTAATGACTTTATATACACTTTTCCTTTGCAAGTTTCTGTCACCTCTTTCAAAATCTAGCTGGTACTCTCCTAAGCCTGCTGTGCTGCAGCATGTAGAAGTGCCACTGTGTTGCATGCTTGTGAACTTAAAACTAGAACTGGTTTAAAAAATGTAGAAGAGAAAATTTATTGAATTTTTTTTCATTTCATAGGGTTCAAAATAAGCAGTTTTGAAAATGGGTTAATCAAAATTTTTGTTTTTTATAAAATGAAATTTCACAAAATTTTAAATTGTGGTTACCAATTTTTTGTGAAGATTTTTTGTTTTGGAAAAAGCCACTCTTTTTTGTCAGTCTATTCATCTGAAAAATGTCAACCAGCTGTACTAGAAACATACTGTAAATATGCCATCTTCAAAACTTCCAACTGATTTGTAATCCTTTTCTTTAGCTAGAAGAGTAAACAATTGGATAACAGTTTCCCAATAGTCTGAGAGTTCCTCTGTTTTGCATATGGTTTATATTTCAGTAAATATATTTTCACCTTGTATTAAATCAAGTTATGGGCTTGCCTCCGCTCATTTGCTTCCATTACATCAAAACTATGTTTCAAGGCTTGCATGTTTCTGTAACCCAGTATTTCTGTATAAGATTTTGTAAACAGACCAGAAGTCCTGTCTCTCTCTTGCAAACAAAGAAAGATAATTTGGAAGTGATCCCAGACCCACAGATCTTCACTAAAATGTATCTGAATACTGTTACTGTTTTTCCCCTCCCTCCTCCAAGCCAAGTCAGAACTATTTTTTCCTTTTTGCTTCTCTTTCTCCCTCTCGGGAAGAGCATTACTCTGTCATGACCGCTCATACTAAGCAAAATTGATTATTTCCTTTAGGAGGTAGTGAGGAGGCAACTGAAAACGACAACATCCACATTTTCATTGTGTCCTCCTTTTGAACTGCGAATAATGGAAATCTCTTGAAATACTGGAAAATACAGACCAGGCAGTAAGGAAACCAGTGTGGCAAGTGGCCTTCTAGTAGGTTTAAAATTGGAGATTAGTCAACATGGTGGAGTTAGAGGTATTTTCAGGCCTCTTGAACAGTGACGTTGGGATGAAGTTGAAAAGCTTCTGAAAAACAGTGACAGTAACTCACCCATGTTAAGGTGTATTTTCTGTTATCAATGTTGGGGTATTTGGCTGGTGCACAGCCACTCTGCACGGCTTCTGGGCAAAAAAAGATGCCAACAGTGATGAGTACTGTCTTCAACCATCTCCAGCTAGCCAGCTCTCAAATGAGGACCTTGCTATTGTGATATAATACACTTTTGTCACCTCCCAGTTAAACTATTGCAACTCGATCTACCTGAAGTTAAATGTAGATGCAACATGAAAACTGCACTATGCAGCAGTCTGCTCATTTAGCAAGAAAGGTTAATGATAAATTACCTCACTGGTTCTCTGTGCCACTATGGCCTCCAGACTGACTTTATAGTCCTAATTCTAATCTACAAAACTCACTAAGAACTGGATAGTTGAGACCAGTTTCCCATCTGTGACCCAGCAACACAACTATGACCTACAGAGAGACTGCAGCAGGCACAGCCAAGGATAAGACTCCTTGGTGCAGAAGACTAAGCACTCTTGGTGATGAGACCCTTGTTGTGGAAAACCTTAACTAAGGAGGTCAGCTTGAACCCCAAGCCTGACCAGCTCTAAAGATAAGACCCATCTCTTTGCTAAGACATTCCATAAGCAATGCTACTTCCTGCCATTGAGGAGAGAGAAGCACATGAAGAAATAAGGAGGCAGAAGAGGATGTCAGTTTGGTATTTGGCACATAGGTATTTCTAAGGCATCTATCATTTCCCTTTTTCTGGTTATATATGTAGTTCTGTATATTGCAGTTTGATCTTATAAAATTGTGTGTAATGCAGCAGTGTCAACTTTGCTGCTGAAACCTTAACTCTTGCACTTCCTTATTGCTTACAGTGTGAACTGTGCACCCTTGTGCACGTAGCCTGACTGGAATTGCTGAGCACCTAATGGCTTCTTGAATTTAACAGTAAAAAAAGCTGCAAAAACTTTTGGAAATTCTCATTTCCTTATGTCTCTTTCTTCGTGATTTATTCTTAAGTTATAAATAGCTTTTCATTTGAAAAACGATGACCAGCTCTTTCTCATCCAGCAATGGGCTTTTTTTCCCTCCCCAAAACAAAATTCATAAATCACTGACTCTTTCAATCAAAACTCCATTTTCAGTACCCCTTCTTGGTAAAAATGCTGATTTTTAAAAATGAAAGGGAGCTGGGTCTTAACCTTTCAAAATGGAAACAGTGTTGCAATTTTTCATGATTGGTCCCACCCCCTAGGCACTTTTAATGAACTATCTTTTAAGGGTTATTTTAACTTGTTCAGCAAAAGCCACAGACAAGTTTTTTCCCGCTCCAGGTATGAACTGTCACTAACCTAGACTTTGTTTTGTAGCAAAGTGTATTATATGCTGTAATTAATATCCCTACGAAAGTTATTTTTCATGCCCTTTGCAGTTACAATGTGTAACCCTGTAGTTAATATATTAAAAAATGCAGTGATTTGGGTCTGGCTCTGGAGTACATGTGTGTGTGCTCTACCATGCAGAACATCCACATGCACCTAAATGGTTATGAATGTTTTCAAACTTATAATTGTTTGGCTCGAGACTGGATGAAATAAGCAAGTTTAGGGATGGACAAACATTAACTTGGCTTTGAATCTGGCATTTACTAAGAACTACTTTCTCTTCTTTTCTTTTCCTGCCAGTAAAAATGTTAGTTGTTCCTGCTGTTCAAAGTAAATATGTTTGTCCCTTTCTGTTTCAGTTTGTGATTTAAGGAGTAGCACACTTCCTGGATCACCTGGTTTAAGCCATTCGCTGTTTGATCTCACAAATCCACCCCATCGTGTCATCCAGGTGAGTTTTTAATAATTTAGGCTACACCCAGAACTCATTTTCTTTTGTACCTGTGCCTGATACCATCACATTTCAAGAGTAAACATTTAAGGGCCATTCTGATGTGCAGTGGAAGAGCTTGAGGAAAAAGTTCAAAATCGTAAATAATTTCACTAGGTTCTTTCCTAATCCCTCCCTTCTTCCCCACAGTATAGTTGGGACATTTGAGTCAGTTGGTTATCAGAAAAGTATAAGCAACTGTGGTTCCCTGTTTTGCACTTCCCTTGCAAAATATAAAACTGGACAGTGGGGTGATGTAAGGGGTTAGTTTTCCATTGGTGCAGCAGGAAATAAAGATCTTACTAACTCCCATTTATGCAAATGGGACAGAACCTTCATGCATCACTAGGGGGGAAAAAAATCAATGCTAACTGTGAATGCATTTTATGTTAAATCCCACCACCAAGGAATTCTGCACTACCAGCTTCAAGGGATTAGTAAGGAATGAGAGAACTTCAATTTACATCTTCCCAATTATCAGTGTGTCCCATCTTTTATGATCAGAACTTGCTGGGCTCTTTGTCACACTCACTGCTCTGACTAAAGAGCCATTTTCTTTGCAGAGATATGATTCAGTCTCCAGTGTACCCAGTAGTACCTCCTCGAAGAAGGATTCGCAAGGCAGTAACAGGAGCCTGGGTAAGAATTGTTTGTTTTTTGAAACCAGCAATGGAATAATTTCCTTCACACAGTGATATCTAAAATATTACACTGTATTACTGCAGACAGTGATTTTATGGACTGGTATTGAGGAGCAAAACAATTGGTGGGTAGTTTGTAACTTGACGTGTAAGATGCCTACTTTACTCAGTCCTCTATCTGCAGCTTTCCTATTGAAAGAGATTGAACATGGGATTTTTAAGAGCACCTTAGTGACCCAAGATATGGAGATGCCGTAATTGCAGCTTGTGTGATTAAAGCTAGCTAGATCGGCGAAGCTGTGGCAGCGCAAGCTTCAGCCTGGGCTAGCCCCGTGAGTAATTACCCTGAGGTCCAGGCGTGCTTGTACAGCCCCTGTTGAAGCATGTGTTGCCACAGCTTCACTGCTCCAGGATCTGAGTTAGCTAGATTAAAGCTAACTCGGGTATGTCAGCTCAAGCGGTAGTTGCACCCTGTGATATACAGTATAGATATACCCATAGGAGCACAAGTTTCAGTGCTCAGGAAAATCCCACCCTGAGTTGACTAATATCCTAATTAACTGGCTTGTTAACTCTGTGTGGGGGAGGGGGAAAGGGAAGTATGATAATAGCTCTGGTCCTTTCTCCTTCTTTTCTAATGGAGAAACTTGCAATCCAATACCACTGTTGTTATTGAGACGGATAGTGGAATACTGCATACAGTTCTGGTGTAAACATTTTGAAAAAGGATGGTGAAAACCTGGAGAGGGTGCAGAAAAGAGCCACAGAAATGATTTGAGGACTGGAGAAAATGCCTTTATAGTGAGAGCCCAATTTGTTTAGTTTATGTAAAAGATTGAGAAGTGATTTAATTACAGTGTATAAGTAAGGCTGCAATTTTGTCATGAAGGTTGCGGAAGTCACTGAATCCGTGATTTCCAGAGACCTCTGTGACTGCAGTCCTTGGGTGGTGGGGCTGGAGCTGTCAACCGGGGGCCCCCCCACGCGCAGCTCCCTGGCCACCGTGAAAAGTGGGGGACCCCAGAGCCCCAGCAGCAATGGGTGCTGGAGCCTTCTACCTCCCCGTTTTGTCACAGATATTTTTAATAAAAGTCAGCAGCAGGTCATGGACTTCCGTGAATTTGTCTTTATTACCTGTGACCTGTCCATGACTTTTTCACTAAAAATATTTGAGACAAAAATCTTAGCCTTATGTATAAGTACATTGATGGGGAGAAAATACCAGCTAGTAAATGTCTCTTTAGCCTAGCAGAAAAAGGCATAACAAGAACCAATGGCTGAAAGCAGAAGCCAGACAAATTCAAGTTAGAAATAAGGCACAGATTTAACAGTGAAGGTGGTTAACCACTGGTACAGACTCCCAAGATAAGTGGTGGAGTCTCCATCTCTTGATGGTTTCAAATCAATACTGGATGCATTTCTGGAGGATATGTTTTAATCAAATATACATTATTAGGCTAAATACAGAGCAAATGGGTGACATTTAATGCCCTGTAATATACAGGGGGTCAAATTGAAGCTCTATTGGTCCCTCCTGGCCTTAAAATCTGAGCTGAGATATTTCAAACTCAGTTTGAAAGAGCTTTAAAATATGCGGGTCACAAAACTGAACAGCGTCCCAGCTTTTCAGAATGGGCTCTAAGATATTGCAAGGCTTTTAAAAAGACTTGTTGGCTTTTTCCCCAGATACCATTACGTTATCAGGTGATGAACGAGACTTTGGAAGAATGAATGTGAAACTGTGTTATATTCCTTCTGCAGAACAGATCTGGATCACAATCTTGCATGTAAGAGAATATTGCTGGGCTTATATAACTGACTCAAATGGAGACTTTATTGTACACCTCTACCCTGATATAATGCTGTCCTTGGGAGCCAAAAAAATCTTACTGCGTTATAGGTGAAACTGCGTTGTATCGAACTTGCTTTGATCCGCGGAGTGCACAACCCCGCCCCCCCCCGGAGCGCTGCTTTACCGCGTTATATCCGAATTCATGTTATATCGGGCCGTGTTATATCGGGGTAGAGGTGTACTTAGTAATCTGTGGTATCCGTTCTCCCAGTTAGATTGGACTCTTTGCTTCTGTAAAACAATCTCAAAACTGAAGTATCAAAATATACCCTCCGTTTGGCCTAACTGTGATACACCTTTATATGCTGCTTTCAAGATGTCGTCTCCTCCTGGATTCTTACTGTTTTAATCACTAATCCCTGCCCCCTTCCCATCCTCCCCCCAAGATTTAGTCAGAGGTATATAGTACACGTCATGGACAGATCACGGGCCGTGAATTTTAGTTTACTGCCTGTGACTTTTACTAAAAATACCTAAAATGTAGCCTTAGCCATGGTTAGTCATGCTGGATAGAATGACTGCTTGTGGAGTAAGGTAGTGTGCAAGAGTGGCAGAATCAGGCCCTGTGTGATTGCTTCACTGCATCTTATTTCAAGAGCAAAGCTATGTTTAATTCTGCCAGTACTTCAGTGGCAAAACCACAACACCGGTATATTTTGGGATGTAACTTCTTGTGGCTTTTCTGTTTGCGTGTGCAGCAAGTATTTACTCAATTCCATGAACTGTGAATGATTTTGCGGTAGTGGAATTTTGAATAGCCAGGGTCCCTGCAACTTTGCATGGAACAATACACAGTGCCTCAGGGGCATTTTCCTGACTGACTACTACTGTAATGCCATATAATTAATTCACTAAAGTTTCCTGGATAACTATTCTACCTTGCTGCAGAAATTGATTATCAAATACTTCAAAAATTAAATTCTAAAGCAACATGGACATCATATGTGCTCTGATTTACCTTAAAAATATATCCTGAAGCTTTTTCCTTATGCCATACAGTAAACAAGAATGCATGCTTCTGTGTTAGCCTAAAGCTAGGGGCTTATGCTGTCTAAAGTGACTCTCTGTTTTCAATGTCGTAGTGCAAAGATCTGAGCTGGCCTTCTAGTTGTGGAGAAAATCCTTATATTTCTGTCAAAGGAATTCTGATGTTGCCTAAGCCAGTGCAGTTCAAATCTTCAGCCAAAGAAGGTTCCAATGTAAGTGGTGGCAGAAAAACATCAATAGATTTTTTTTCTGCAAACGTAAATTATTTTGATCCTGTTTCTACTTCATTCATTTTCTTTGCACCAGGTTTTCCATAAGAATTGTTTAGTGTCAGGAAATTATCACTATAGGCTTCTAAGAAGTTAAAAAAGGGACAAATCTTGTTTCTCTCGCCATTCCTCTCTCTTTCACCCACCCGCTTTTTGCAGGTGTAGAAAATGCTGAAAAACAGCAGAGTTGTTGAGGCCCTGCTCAATTAACAGTACACTTTGGAAAATATGAACTAGTATTGGGGGGAAGTGGAGGAGCAAGACCTGATTATCTTTGTAGGCAGTGTTGCCGTAGCCATGTCAGTCCTAGGATATTAGAGAGAGAAGGTGGGTGAGGTAATAGCTTTTATTTACTCCTGGGAGAATTCTGTGCCACTGCGCACATGCAGAATTCTTGTTATCCGCAGATTTCTTTCATGCAGAAAAATGACTTCTGACAGGGAAGCAAAGGGAAGCCACAAGAGTAGTCATGTACCCTTCCCCGGCAGTGCAGGCACATCGGTTCAGGCACCTAGAGCAGCCGGTGGAGACGTAAACCACCACGGGGGAGGAGGGAAGGAGGCTGGGCAGTCATGTGTGTGAGAGAGTGCTTGCTATTGCGGCACACTCCACGTGGAGGGGTAGGTGTGGGGGATGTAGGGATGGGGTAGGCTCTATCCCCTCAGGCAGAGCAGAATGTAGCAGCCTTCCTTCTTAGTGAATTCCCCCAAGAGTATAAAACAGGTGTAAAAGTTATAAGGCTCCTTTACATTGCCAGAGTGGTGTAAAGGAGCCTTATGGTAAAGGATAGTATGGCCTTATAAATGCTTATGGTGCTTTTATTGATTAGAACTGGTCTAAATTTTTGTACTGAAAAAATTTCCTATCAAAATGTGCTCCATGAACTGTTTGCTACTGACCTTTCTGGAGATGGTCAGTAGCCAATATAAATTGTGAGTTTGATTGTCTAGCCCTCACTTGCTCTTCAGTTGCCTATGATGTAACACTGAGCATATGGCTGCATATATTTGTTGACTAATAATTAGAAGTAAAGGGTCAAACCTAGCTACATTACTATTACGCCAAGGAGGTTTGGGGATTTCCTCCCATGCTCCCCACTCCCATTCTCCATCCATTGTATTGTAGTTTAAATAAATTACCAAAATAATTGAAACCGGCGTGATTACATTGCGTTAGTTTGACAAATGAAATATGCAGAATTTTGCAGAATTTTAAAATATTGTGAGCAGAATTTTTGATTTTTTTGGCGCAGAATTCCCCCAGGAGTATTTTATTGGACCAACTTCTGTTGGTGAGAGAGACAAGCACAAAGGAAACCTGCACACCACTTTCAAAAGATGAGCCTTGGAACTTAAATTCATAACTCTGCTAGACACTAAAAATCATGAACTGAACAGAGATGCTGGATTTAGGGCTTATTACAACAACCTATAATCCACTAGCAACTCCCCCCTACCCCATGTTCCTTCCCACCCCCTTCCTTTCTCCCTTATGATTGGAGGTGTGTTAACGGGCTATTTCACCTGGAATGCTCCCTTGAAATATGTGTTAACTACTTATGTTAAACAATCTGTTCCACCTTATATGTAGCTGTGACACTGAGTACTTTCCCCAGACCTGAAGAAGCGCTCTGTGTAAGCTCAAAAGCTTGCCTCTCTCACCATGACTATCTTTGGTGATATTTGTTTGTTAAAATTGGGCGTAAAGGGAGAAAATGACACAGTCTGAAATGTTACCCAACACGTCTAGATCCTCCCAACCCTTCTAGAGAAATGTGCAATTTAACCCTTTTTCTGAGTTCCCTTCTCTCTGCTTCTTTGTACAAATATGAATTGGGGACTGTATCATTTGGTGCCTTAAATTTTACTCTGCATTTCTCATGTGTCGGGGTCCTACTGGCTGATTAATGACTGAGCGTCCACTTCGACCTGTCAGGAGGGCTAAATGGGGAAAAAGACAGGCCTAGATTCACCTTGCTTGTGCAAAGGGGATAGAAATCCTAAAGTTAGGGGCCTACTTTGTGGAAGCCAATCCCCAAACTCCTACTGACTTCTATGAGAGCATAATGATATGTTGTGGTACTGTCTGGAGGTCAACTGAGAATGGGACCCCACTGTGCTGGGTACTGGATAGACAGAGTAGTAGGTAGTCCCTGTCCTGAAGGATTCATAGTCTAAAAGAGAGGTCGGACACCCAGAAGGAGCCAGAGGTGTAACATACAAGCAGAGGAATGGTTTGTAAACATCCATGTTGGTGCCACAAATTTTTTGTTTGGCTTTGTTGTTGAATTCCTTTTGGGGGGTTGGTAAGGAGGGGATTAGCTATATAGAAAGTCATCAGAGATGGTAAAGACAGGTGGGGCAGAGAGGGGAGTGTGGAGGGCAGGTGGAGTGAGGCTGAAGTGAAAAGAATGAGAGAGGGTGGGAGGGGTTGGCGCAAACAGCCAATCAGCACCAGGCAGAGAATGTCCTGACTGAGAACTTTGTAAGGCTATGTCTTCACTGCCAAAAAAGGTGTTTTTTTACAATGAGATAACCAAGGAGTTTTAATTGTCTCCTAGAATTTTACAGTGAGACTTGGTGAACGTAGTTTTTACTGCAGTGTATCACACGATTGGTCTCTCATGTGTAGTTGACCTTGCCTAGTTACACTGCAGTAAAAAGTACAGAGCGTTCTCTCTACTAGGATTTCACCCAAGATAGCTAGTCCATGTTAGTTATCTAGCTATAAAAACACACCTCTATAGGTAATGAAGACAGCCTAAGAATATTTCCAATTACACCTTTTGTAAGACTTAAAACATTTTTCCCCCTGGGTTTCATGCTGTATAGGGCTCTTCATTGTTTTGATTGTACTGTTGTATTACATATGTGTCCTTTCTTCTAGGACATTGAATTCATGGAAACCTTTGTGTTTACTATCAAATTGCAAATTCTGCAGACTGTAAGACTAGTGTTTAAAATCCAAACTCAGACTCCCCGGAAGAAAACAATCGGAGAGTGTGCCCTGCCACTACGAGAGCTCAATTCACAGGAGTCCGATCATTGGTTGGATATAATGCCTCCTTCCAAAGTTTCAGTAAGTGACTGATCGCCAGTTATGCACCATACACCATGGTAGCTAGTGTTATCACATGCACTAGAAAGAGAGCTGAAAGTTAATGGGAAGAAAAGTAAAATCACAAGTGTAAGGTTAATTCTGGAAATATGAGTGTTATAATTAATATCTTCCTGCACTTTGTATTTCATTCCAAAAGACTTTACAACTGTACACTTTATAACTAAGCTCCTGAAACTCAGCTGCTTCTGGGGCGAAGGGCTGCAACCAGCTGTTACACAGAACACACACTGTGGCAACTGGGGAAATTTTTGACCAATGACAAATTCTCAGCCCTCAGATCTTTATTGTTCACACAAAGTAGATGGCCTTAATTCTTATGGATTAAAAGTACTAAGTAGTATTACTTGCTCTTTATTGATGTTTTAACCATTTAACTGTGTTTGTATTCAAGCTGCATGCTCTGGAGCAATAATTCAGGCAGTTAACTGAGCAATAAACAGCAGGTGGTTGCTAAGTGTTACAGGAAAGAATAATAACCTGGGTTAATTTATAGGACCAACTAAATCAGAAACTACAGTAAAGCTATCTTTTGAGAAATGTAATAAAAGGTTTGTTTTACTGTCTATTCCCAAGCCCAGTGCAGTGACACACCCACAGTATGGCAGTTGTTACAGAACTGCGTATGTCACAACAGCAGGATCATCTTAATTTTCGTTGTGGGGTTTTCCCCCTAATATGTTTGCCATGAAAATGTGCGCAGATGCTAATACTTTCTATAAATCAAATTTGAATTTGGAAGCAAACTGCATCTGAATAAATCTGTAATGTTCCAATGTAAATGATACTTGCCATGTGTAGATATTGTTGTTGAATAACCATAAATGCTCCTCATTCTTCACCTGAATCTATAATCCTTTGTGTGTGACATCAGAGAGCATTAAATAATTAGTGGTAGGATTCAGATGAACTCTTAAACACGAGCAGCCCCACAAAGAGCCAACTCCTGAGGCTTGCCTGGTTACAAAAATCTAAATTTTGCTTCCAGATTGTGTTCATGAAGTTCCATCCTAATAATTCAAAATAGGGAGAGAGATACTGGAAATAATGTGTAATCATAAGTATTATTTTTTATAGAGCTTTCTAAGATACTGCAACAGGTCTTAAAGTTTGTCCTGAGCATTTCATTTGTGTAGTGTTCATTAAACTCAGAGATCTTATTACATTTACACTATGTTTATTTATGGAACAAATACATTTTACATAGTAAAACTCCAAAGCCTCTGGTCATCCATAATCTCATTGGGTAAGTGTCAGGGTATTTATGGAATAAAGTGATATTTATCTGTCTATACCTCAGTATACAGAAATGCATGAGGAAAGGGTCACCAAAGCACGTTTTGGGTGCATGTGGAATAAATCTGGTTTCTATTTCAATATCCATATAAGTAAATTAATGTGTTTCATGAGTTTATATGCAACTTAATCCAGATATTAAAGCAACATTCACCTTTTTATAGGTGTACAAAGCAGAACTTCAAATAGGAACCTGTTTTCAAGCAATAAACAGCAGGATTCAGTTACAGATTCTTGAAGCCCAAAGCCTCCCAAGCTCATCCACACCGCTCTCTTTAAGTAAGTACATCAGCTGTCTCATACCTCCTGTCTAGAAGCATTTGTAACAGGTAGAGTACTGCTTGAATGACCTGGCAATTCATAGCATTCCGCACAAACCTCGAGCTAATATTACATAGCACAGTAGATTTCCATTGCCAAGGTTCGTTTCCATAGATGTCAGACTAGATTAAATTTGTTGTTTGGTTTGATGCTATGTTGGTGTGTTTGGGGTTTTCTTTTGTCCTAATATTAATTCTGACATGCAAGAGCATTAGCCTGCCCTTGCCATTTGGATTCTGTGTTAATCAGTTCAATGTTATGGAATGTATTAGGCATGTGTGATTTTAATGAAAGCTATTGTATGGTTCTTGCAATGTTTAAGTAAATATGAACACATTTGGCCCAGCTTTTAGGTAATTATTAGAATATAAACTACACACATGGCTCTTGTCAGATTTTAGTGCACTAACCCCTTTGCGTGTCACACATTTTTCCTTTATCCTAGATTTCTTTGTGAAGGTTTCAATGTTTAGTACAGAAGGGTTGATTTATAAGAAAAAGACTCGTCTATTGAAACCCACCAATGGCCAAGTGAAGTGGGGCGAAACGATGATTTTTCCAGTTAGCCCGAATGAACAAGGAATTAATTTTCTCATCAAACTCTACAGCAGGACCTCAGTGAGAAGAAAACACTTTCTGGGACAGGTTGGTTTTTATTCTTTCCCACCCCCAACCACTGGTAACTAGCGTAAATCCAAAGGTTAAAAATTTACTCACCAGGATCACTGCTTAGCTACTAAGTTATGTAATCTCTGAATCTCGACCATTTTGGTTCAATAAACAGCCAGTAGCAGCTTTGGGCCCTGTCCTACAAGGAACTGAGCATCTCCTGAGTGGTGCTGTGCTCCTACAGTGTCCATGCAGTGGTAGTTGAGGGTGCTCATTGCCCCTCAGAATGCACTTTGTACCTCACAGGATTGGGCTCATTGATTATTCTTCCCCCAGAGTCCCACCATGTGAAATCTCTCTCACTCACCCACTTACATACATACAGATAAACTCCTCCTTGCTGAATACCTAACTGACTAAAGCTTTGTCGGTCTTTTGTCAGTCAGAGGTGTGTGGGGGAAAAAAACACCCTCCTAACCCACAAAAGTTTCACTGACAAAAGTGCCGGTGTGAACAGAGCTATGTCGGCTGGAGACGCTCTCCCGCCAACCTAGCTACCGTCGCTCATTACGGGTGGTTTAATTAAGCTCATGGGAGAGCTCTCTCCCACTGGCATAGAGCATTTACACAGGAGATCTTGCAGCAGAGCAGCTGTGCCACTGTAAGGTCGGTAGTGTAGACAATAGTTTAGACTTTCTAAAGTAAAGCAAATCTGGCATTCACAGGAGCACTGCAGCTCTGAATAGCTTCTACAAAAGGAGGGTGTATCAGCTTGCAGTGTTCAGGCAAGTATGCAGAGAAGGAAATGTCAAGAGCTTAAATGACTGCCTCCCCTCCCGTCCCCTAGCATTAGAACATTAAATGTTACCTTTGCTTCCCTCTCAAGTACCTGAAAGGGAAGCAGGAAGCTCAGGAATCTATTGCAATGGATGTTGAAACTAGCACAGTTCTGAGTACACAAGACCTAATCACAATTCCGTTGTTATCTTGAACCTCATAATGATATTTGTTTGTCTGTTAGATAAAATGCTTGAGGGGAATGCAATATTTTCTTTTATGGTAAAGTTGGTGGTTTCCATTGCATCTTCCTGAAAGCACCGTGTAGCTACATTTATTTTACTAACCAAGAGTTTTTAGTTTTGGCTTTTTAAAATCTCCTCTCCCAACTTCCTGTCTCTTCTGTCCTCCTTTCTTTCTCTAGTGGACCACAGGTCAGTCTTGATAACCCACTCTCAGTGCTGTCTGATCTGTTCCAGAGCCCTCAATGCTAGGTAGTGGTAGTTGTCTCTCTGAGAGCCATAAAATAACACATGCACCTAAATTTTAGAACCCCAAAATGTCTGGGGGTTTTTGAGAGCCTCACTACCTTTATAATGTCCACATCCCACTGAGGTCCTATGCTCTTTATCACAGTAAACATGTAACTTACCATTGTATCAGTATACCATTGTATCAATATACCTTGTGCTTATGATATTAGAAACGTGCACAGTTACTGGAGAGCTGTAAGTGCTATGGAGGCCATATCCTAGCATGAGTGATTGTAAGGTGAGCTTCCCCATGCTGGATAGAGCAGCATTCCACACTTGTGCTGGATCTCATTGTGATCCTGTTAGTAAAACTATATTAAAAAAGGAAAAAATAGGCTTGTGCTTTCTAGCTATTTTAATTTAGAGTAAATAATAACGTGTGCATGATGCTGCAGTTATCAAGCTTTGTCACTTCATCTTGATTTGTGGGGCTGCTTTTAATAATAAAACTTGGGGAGGGGGGGGGTTGAAGAAAAAGAGAAGTGCACTACCTCTGCTCTTTAGAGCTGATTTGGAAAGGCTGGTTTAGGCTGAAACAGGCAGACATTGCTATATAACACAGGCAGACACAAAACATGGCCATAGGGAAAATGTACTGCGAGCAATTGGCTGTAGAGCTGGAAAAAGATGAATATAGCTGAATCCAGTAACTTCATTCTTTAGAGAACGTGATATTTAATTGGATGACATTCTCAGAAGACAACTTAAAGCTTAGACTGTGCTGTTTGTAGGTATGTCTTTGATCATAAGCATGACTATTTTAATGCATAAAGGAATTTATTTGGTGATCTTTATTTGGTGACCCAATCCTTCAGTCCTCTGGCTGGCAAAATTCCCACTGACTGCCCTGAGAGCCAAGATTGTGCATGCATAGTGTATTTTGACAAAAAATCATTTTAATCATTGGGATTAGTATTAGCAAGATTGATCGAAGCACGGAGAAAAGAATGAAAAGCCTTCATAAATATTGATAGTTCTCTTTGTCCCAATAATTTTTGTTAATGGAAGGGCGGGGGTGTGGGAGGGAAATGATTAGACAGAAACTTCCTCCTTTTCTCTGCACTTTATTTCCTCAGTTTGTATCTGCCGTCTATTACTTGAGCACTGCTGACAAACTGATTTTTCTCGCATGATTATACATGGTATGGGCACATTCCTTCAAATGTTGTTCTGGCCACTTCACCTGGAATGGCCTTTTAGACTATGTGTTAACCACTTATGCTAAACAATCTGTTCCACCTTGCCTTTAGCTGAGACTTGCTGAGTTCCTTTCCCAGACCTGAAGAAGAGCTCTGTGTAGCTTGAAAGCTTGTCTCTTAGTCTTTCATCACCACCAGAAGTTGGTCCAATAAAAGAGATTACCTCACTCACCTGGTCATTCGGGCAAGAAGTCCATTAAGTTCAGTGGAATGCACAGTTAGGCCATATCTGTTTTTAATTGTGAATTTAAATGCATTGTGCAAGTTCTGTAGAGCCATTCCGAGTCCTAATGAGTTCTGAGACGCCCCCTGAGTGTTGACTTGCAGCACCCATGGAATTCAGAGATCGCAAACGATGCTCAACTGGCTGTGTGTTCCACAGTGGAGATATGTATGTTGCCTATGATGAGTCCACCAAACTCCTAGTCACTGTCTGGGACAGAAATTGAACTGAGTGTTTTAACACCCTGTGCTCCCAGCCCTGGGCCAGACCATACTAACTTTGACAGATTTTTATTATACTCTGCAATACATGCTAGCTTTCATTATATGTATGCACTGGTTAGAAGTAATGTTGAGGGGATTGGCTGAGGCTGCCAGTAATGTGATCTGTATGACAACTCAGCTGTGGTATGTTTTGTTTTGTTTTTGTTTTTTTTCTTTTCTTACCACAGGTCTGGCTAAGCTCTAATAGCAATAGTAGTGAAGCAGCAGATCAGTGGAGAGATACAATTGCAAACCCCGAAAAGGTAGTCATTAAATGGCATAACATAAATCCATCCTGAAGATGTCAGAGATGAATTCAGTACTGATATGGACTTGCTACAAGAAACTCTTGCACTCTTAAAATGAACTAATACAGCTAAGAAGAGGGAAAATACTGTCTACTTGAATGTTTCAGGAAGTCTGGACTTGCATCACATATTGTTAACTGGAATAAGCCAAAAGGAAAAGGGATCAGAGCTTTCACAGAGTACTGCTGGCAAAATACTGGTATGATAACAGGTGGGAATTAGTGAAACTGTACACTGAAGTAAAACACCACCTTGAGAAGTGAACTGTTGTTGCTGTAGTTTTTCCAAGAAGGATTATATAATATAGTGTTTATGTAAATTTAAAGCATATTTTAAAAGGGGGGGTGTGGAATTGAACTCATGTCCTTTTGCATTTTAAACTTCTTTATAGAAGGCTCGAAAGGGGTTTTGTGTGTGGTTTTGGTTTTGTTTTGGGTTTTTTCCAAAAGGATTTCTCTGAACTTTTTAAGTAACAATAGAAACGCAGTTCTCATCTCCCCTGGAAATGTCTATAGATGACTGGAGAACTGGCAGGATTATATCTTTGATACCAAGCAAATGAAATCAGACTGAAAGGGAAAGTGTTGTTTGTTCAGACTGTTTATAACTATTTTTTCTAAAAAGCAACAGAGTGTCCTGTGGCACCTTATAGACTAACAGATGTATTGGAGCATAAGCTTTCGTGGGTGAATACCCACTTCGTCAGAC